TTCTGTGAAGTAAAAGGCAAGCAAAAAATAGCAACTCGCACTGGGCACTATGTCAATAGGTTAGTCCCAAAAATGATATAAAGTTGCTATAAAATGATTCTAAAACGTACAAGAATGATAATGTAACAGCTTGGAACAATAAAAAAATATAGATACGTTGGAGACATATCAGAAAACATGATGTAAAATGGACATATCAAGGCTCAAATTGTCCGTAACCGGGGACATGGCTAATTGATTAGGTTTTAACACTCTGCATAGGTTTGTAAACTTTACCCGCAAGATTCGATCCCTCCCTTTTCATCCTCGCACTTCAGATTTTTTGAGAACAGGACGATCGAAACATGGTCTTTCGAAGAGTTCCTCTGACCACTGTCCGGTGCCCATCCAATCCTACCGTAGTTCTACATTGCTGGCACCATCCCAGCCAGAGTCACAACTAGAGTTAACCAAGCCAGAGCCCACAATGACTTGCGGTCGCACAGGTAAGCTTCCGGGCATGAAATATTCTTCTGTCTCTTTGAGTCTGGGTGAAGCTTTCCACAAGATGTCATGGCGCTTCTCCATGCATCCCGGCTATCCACTGGTTACTCCAAGGTGCTCATCAAATCCATCCTTCACCCCGTAGTGTGTATTGAAATCTAGTCTCGAGTCTTGAAGTCTTGAGGTCTTGAAATGCAGGCCTTGAAGAATGTCTGTCTTGAAGTTGCCATCAAGAAGTTGTCGTCATTGGCGTAGAGTCCTCCATTCTCACACCACTCTTGAACACTCATACCAAACCCCGTCTACTATAGCGTAGCAATAAAACTAAGCAATGTCCCGGGCTTGGTAACAGGGAGATGGGTTCCTACCTCATGCATTCTACAACTACAAGAATTCAAAACCACTACTGGAGGAATTAATGAAAAAGGTGGCACTAAATAAAAGCAAAATCATAGGTATACAACAATATGGTCAAAGTGAACTTGTCTGGTATTACTTGATGAAGATTTATAAAGCTATTAGAAAATGACTTGGTAGAACTATTCGTCACTCCGATAAAATATATATAGTCAAACATTGCAATCATATAAGCATTCATTCTAGCAATCAAGTTAACAACCAACAAATAAAAGTTCAATAAATAAATCAATAAGAAAAACCAAATGAAATCCAAAGAAAACTATAAAGAAAAACTACTAAAGAAAAGTCCTATGACTTAACTACACATCATAAATATAGTTTTTGTCCTAACTTAACTCAACAGTAAAGAAAATACTAAACTAATAATTTAATAGAACCTAAAATAAAGTTTTTATAAAAATAACAGAAAGAAATTTTCTACAAATTTCTATGCAAAAAGAATCAACTGAAAAGCATTGATAAAACTTCTCCTATGATCAAAACAAATTTTCTTTCAAAAGAAAAGAAATAAAAATAATAAAAATTATTTTTAAATACTAATAAAATGCCTACTGTTAACTAACGGCAACTAATTAAAACCTGTCAAAAATGACAAAAGAAAAATAATTTAAAATAATTAAAACTAATGGAAATAGCATTAATCCTATTAGATACTAAAACAGTAATGTTTTTGCAATAAACCTAATTTAAAATAAGATAAAAATAAATCACTAAATGCTACTGGATAAACAAAACAATAATAAATCAGTAGCAGAAAGAATTACTCAAAAAAATATTTTTAAACTCAAGATATGGCCAAAATAATGATTTGAACAAATTTCATGAAATTCAAGTTTAAACTACTCAAATTTGAAATCCAATTGCACAAACAGAAACTTCATAAAAGAAACTATAGCAAAAAGAATCACTCAATTTGGATTTAAAGCATAAAAGATATTGCAAATATAAAAACAGAACTAAATATGAAAATTAAAAACAAAACAGAAAATAAAAGTGCTAGCTAACGGACAGTGGGCTACGTGGCAACACGTGATTGGGCTATGGGTGTGCACCGCTACGACTAAACGGCGGACGGCCGAAATATAGTAGAAAACGATTCGTGCTTTTAAAATAAAAACGATGACCTAATCGTCGTACGTTGCAGATTTAATAGTGAAGGAGGGCGTCGGTGGCTTACAGCGGTGGGGAGGGCTCCAGCGTTGTCCGACGGCCGCGATCATTCAACTTAAAAAAAACAAATTTCACTCAGTTTCTGTCAATCAATCATATTTATTTAATTAATATAACATTGCAAAATTTAGAATTTTGGGATGTTACACACAAAAGAGTAGACCAACACCAGCAGACCACGCACCCACGAGCACTGTCACCATATGGTTTCATAACTAGCACCCGCTTCAAAACTGGTGATACAACTACTGAAGCTATACAAGGCCAAAGACAACAAAGTTCTCAGCTCTCACAACAAAGGCCAATTTCGGTACCCCCTCCGTTCCATAATTCTTCAACTAAAACCACCATAAGAATTCTGTAATGAATGGAGTGGTTTCATCCTCAAAATTTATATGACCAAGAATCACTATATGTATCTCAAAAGAGATTTACAAGGGTTTTCTTGTGAGTGGATAAGGTTGAATATTACGCCGGGGGACATGAAGGTGAATTGGAAAGAGAAATACATGTCTTTAGAGAAGATTCATTGGTAGAGATCAAAGAGGCAGCAAGCTCAGTGACAGTGTGGCGGGGCGGTCCCGGTCAATTCTGCATCGTGATTACGAATTGCACTTGCGTGGATGCTATTTTTGTAATCGCAAAAACGAAACAAAAGATTAGCTCAAGATTGATGTACAAGTGGATGCATTAAGTCACCATTGGTTCATATTTTACAAATCACCAAGTCCCAGCAGCTCTCCTATGTGATCAGACCTGCATTAATCAACAAAGGATCTTTGCGATACCCTCTCATCCATCACTCGTCATACAAAACCAAAGCACGTTCGTACACTGACGCGCGTTCGTCCATTTTGCAGCTGAGCTGACAGAAATTGCTCGACCACCGACCACTTAAGAGGAGCCGAAGGTGTCGAAGATGGTGGTGTGCAGCGGGTCGCTGAGGTGGGTGGCCCAGTTGTTGAGTGGCCCCTTGCCGGTGGCGGCGGCCTGCACGGCGAAGCCGAGGAAGGCGACCATGGCGAGGCGGGCGTGCTTGATCTCCGCCAGCTGCAGAGTCTCCTTCTTCACCGGGTCCGCCGCGAGTCCCAGCGGGTCGAAGTAGGAGCCACCGGGGTAGAGCCTCCTCTCCGGGTCCAGCTCCGCGTTGCGCTGGAACTCGATGTACCCGATCACCAGCACCTCGATCCAGATCAACGTGGTGAGCGTGAACGGCAGCGGCTGCCCCAGGTACGACGACCCGTCCACCAGCTCCACCTGCCAGCATCGTTGCACAGATCAGTACGCTCGCCTTGCAGTATTCAGGTCCTATACGTGCATGAGGTCGAGACGACGTTGCGTACCTTGCCGGCGTCCTGCCAGGTGACGCCGGTGAGCCACTCGACGGTGAGGGCGCCGAGGGTGGCGAGCATGGCCCAGCGGCCGTGGATGAGCTCGCACTCGCGGAACCTCTGGAGGCCGAACACCTCGGCGTAGGGCTGGAACGGGGTGGACTTGACGTCGGCGTCCTCGAACCGGGTGCCGATGATCTCGCCCGCCAGGTTCTGGGCCAGGTTCTGGTCCAGGGAGTCCACGTCGTACTGCAGGTACTCCGCGGGCTTCCCGAGGCCGAAGGGGTCGAAGCCGTAGTCGCCGACGAGCGTGCCGTCGAGGTACTCGGGCGCCTGCGCGCCGGGGAACCACAGCGGCCGGTCGGTGGTCGGGGGCGCCTTGGCCTTCTTCGGCGGGGCCTTCTTCTTGCCGAAGCCGAACCGCGCCACGATGCGCCCGTTCTGCGGCGCCGGGTCCGCCAGCCGGGTCCCGAGGAACGTGCTCGCCGCGGCGGCCACCGACGAAGCCATGGCTGCTCGCTCCTCCTAGCTTGTCCTCCTCGGCCTTTGCGTGCGTTGAGGTGGCGGGTGGTGCTGTGGTGTGTGGTGTGTGGCCGTCACGGGGTACAAATAGGGTGTTTATAAGAAATTCCCGGTGTTATCTCTGGCGTGGCACATCGGACGGCGACGAGGGCGGCTGTGATCTATCTGACGGGCGCGACCGGCTCTGCCTTATCCGAGTCTTATCTGTATGGCCCTATGAACGGGGGAGGTTGCGTTGGACGTAGGCGACACGTGGAGACCCCGGATTGGATGGTGGGGCTTGAGAGCGCTTGTGATTTGTGGTCTTCAGGTGCGTGGGGCCGGAAAGATATGGCGTAAAAATGACCTTGGCAGTTCTGGCCCTGTAATAACTGTAGAGATGCATTTTGGTCCTTCATGGGAACCATGCAGCTCGCCCCTTTGAATTTTCTTATAGCTTCAAATACTGCTGGTAACGTTTCAAGCCATTCACACATCTACTTGGCATCATGTAAAATTCTCTATTTTTTTTAGTACTTGCATCTTATTTGGGTACTTCTGATGATCCGGCATGAAATGATCTATTATTAGGGATGCAAACGGGATGGGCTAGCGGACAATAGCATAGTACAAATTTTAAGCAAATGATGAACAAATTTTAGAGCTAATTGATAAGTTTTGCAGGACAAAGCAGGCTGCCGCTTGCACCCGTATCTATTATGATGATTTCCACCTCAGATACTTGCAACTTCATTCAGCTTTGTACACAGAGATTCAGATAAACAACACTAGTCGGAATGATTTCTTTTTCACCAAAATATATATTTTTTCTCATCTTGTAACATTCATCACCAGATACCTCTTCATATATTGTCAAAGAAGTGAAGAAAACGATAACATTCGAACACATAGAAGGAGAAATTACAAAATACCAAACTCAATACTACGAATAATCTGGATCTTTTTGTACGGCCGAGTACTACACTCGGGCGAAGAGCAGCCAAAGATGCCCCCAATAGTTCTCAACGCTATCCAGATGTGTATAACTGTTAATATCTGTTATCCGGACAAGCTGTCCTCTGGGGAAAGGTTGAGTTAATGCTTCAAGGGATAAGCGCTTCCATCGAATTTTGCAACAGCCTCATTCGGCTTGGGCGTCTCCAATCTCTCCTCTCTCTTCTTCTTTTCCCTGCAAAGAGAATTCAAGTTAACTGAGTCCAATTAATTGGAATAAGAGTCTTACATGGTAAAACTGGTATAAGAGATTACCTCTCGATGTATTCCTTGAGAAGTTCCTTGGCTTGAACCAGTTTCGAGAGTAAGTTGCGGTAAACGTCAAGGTCTCTATCCACGCTCTTTTTATTGATGTTTAGAGCAGCACAAAGCTATTGAGCAAGAAGAAAAGTCAGTATCTATTGTTATATCAGTCAGTATATAAATGCTTTGCTGAAATGTCTGATGTACTTCAGTATATGCTAGATGTCTCACTGATGCTTTTCAAGTATTACCCTTAATGCTACTGCTACCAAGTTCTCTGCTGAGCAGCCCTGGCTCAAATTATTAAGCTAGCAGAATTGTTCTTTTCTCTGGTCATTCAGAGACTAGTAAAGAGAGAAGAGGAAACACAAGAATGTAAATGACATCTTAAGACCAACCAGAAATGGCAAGTTATCATTCGCATAGATCTACTTGAAACACAAAATAGAGAAGTACGCAGTCACAAGGTGGCCTTACTGTACTGAGTAGAAGAGTGTAGCATACCGGTGGAAAGTAGAGGTTCAAAAAAAAAATCTAGCAACAAGCCTAACGTCAATGGGTCTGCCCATAGAAATATCTGAATGTGTACATAGAGACACACCACCAAGCAACTTGCGTCGAATGAGTTGAATTCCCTAATGTGTTATTTCTATTTCAGCTCAAGAAAAACCAGCATAATTTACAACCTCAACCCCTGAATAATATTGGGGATGGTCAATACAGCAGGCAAGCTACGTAAATACATTAAGATTAGTAGATCTATGCTTTGCAATGAAAGAACGCCGCAGTGGTCCTAAAGCACTTCTGGTTACTAAATATCAGATCAAATCATCCCCTCAATTGGTTTACTCCCTCCGTTCCAAAATAGATGAAGTTTCAGATTTTGCAGTCTAGAGCAATGTTAATTGTTTAATTTTTGTGTGCATATATAGTAACTAATTAGAAAAATGTGAAACTATTATTCATGACAAATTTGAAGGTACAGTCCGTATCTGACAAATCCAAATAATTTCACTCCCGTTCAAAACATAGATGTCTTTTTTAGTCTGTTCACATTTTCTCAAAATATTTGTCCTCCTATATCAATGCCATTGTGTTCCTACTTTGCTCTTGATCATTAAAAAAAAGCTACTCCTTTCAAAAGATGGGTAATATTGTTTAATTTTTGTGTGCATATATAGTACTCCCTCCGTTCCTAAATAATTGTCTTTCTAGAGATTTCAACAAGTGACTACATACGGAGCAAAATGAGTGAATCTACACTCTAAAACATGTCTACATACATCCGTATGTTTAGTCCATTTGAGATGGCTAGAAAGACAATTATTTGGGAACAGAGGGAGTAATTACTTAACTCATTGTCCTTGCTTTGGGGAGGGAAAATAGGCAACTTAATCATTTTGTGAAGAAGAGATGGGTAATATCGACATTTCACTCACACTATTTCCGTGCCCAATTCTAGAAAATTATTGTTCTTCACAAAATAAAATAAAATTAGGAAACAAACAATAATGGGAAAAGGAAAAACAATTGGGAAGAAAAAAAAGTAACAACTAGAAGGAAATGTGCAAACAAAATAAATAATGGCAAGAACAACCTTGTCCAGTACGGTTGGCTCCGTCGCATTTGAGAGCTCAAGCAAACGGAACAAGCCAACAGCAAAGAACCGGCTGTAGCTGAAGTTTCCCTTACCCTGGGCCCTTTCTGATATATCTTTCAGAATGGACTCTATTTCCCCATCTCTGGAAGAAAATTCAACTAACAAGTTACCATTTTGTGAGCGTGCCCACTCTTCCATCCTTTGTGCATCAGCCCTAACAGAGAAGTAAAAACTCTTAGCATTTGTTTGAAACAAGAAAATTGCTTAAAGAGGAAAAACTTTTATTAATGCCAACAAGGCAAACAAACAAGTACCAAATAACACATGAGATTTTGGTGCCAAGGAAGCAGACTAACTAGTGACCCAAGCATACAAACACGTAAGCAATAACTAGTGTAAACTGGGAAATTTTAACAGAAGCCGCAAGGTGCATAAGTTAATAAAACCTCTCTAAGAAAAAAATAAGGGTTGATTAATATATTTAAAAGAGTTGAGGGGTAATATATATACTCATGCATAAAATTAACAGAAGAGAATTATAACAATCCCACTTGTACCAATAGTTATGAAAATTAATTTGAGGATTCAGGGTATGAACATGGAAAAAAGTACAATCTAATATAAAGATAAAGATGCTAGCATGTCACTGGTTCAAAGCCATTTATATGAGTCCTGATATGCACCTGTATTGCTCAGGATCTTCATTTAACGCCGTTACGTATGACTTGAAGATGGCATCCCTGTCCTCGGTGCTGGGGTACCCTTCCATAAGCTGGTCATAGACAGTGACAAATCCAAGAGCAAACACAGGATCATACTGATAGGTACTTTTGTATCTCATCAGATGTTGCTGCACCAAAAGTTCTTGTAGGACTGTACTGTAAATGCTTGGAATAGGACGTTTGTATGACTTCAGGAAGTTCATCTTTGTATCTGCCACAGTAGGTGGGATATCTGCAAAAGATTCAGAGCAGATAAAAAGGTCAGAAAAAGATCCTTTATTTGGTTGTAATTCACATGATTAAGCTTCTCTTGTGTATATAATCGCACCATTTCTCTTTATGTGCATTTTATACACGCTCAAAACGCTTCAGACTGCATCGTAGTTGCTACACGTTACCAAGTCCCAGCAGCAAGGAAGTTGGACTGATACCCATAATTCAACTAACAAAAATCTTCAGCCTTCCAACAGTTGACCCTAAACTTTTTTTGCACAAGGCATGTATAGTTTTTAGCACAGGCACAAATGGTGGATAAATTAAGGGACTTATAGCACAAATACCCTATTAACAGACTGAAACACTAATCATCAGTCCATCACAGAAACCAATCCAAAATCGACAATTGTTAGGATTGAAGAGTTTAGCAGCATGACCTTCCAGTCCTTGCAGCCCCATGTAGAGGCCTCGCCGCTTAACAGAAAATATCTAAACTTTGCTAGGAAACTGAAACTCAACAAAAGTTTTTATAAATCGGCCTAAAATAAACAAGTAAAAGCATTAGTCGCTGGAAAACTCCTGGAGTCATAGACTGCATGTGCAAGACGTTACTGAGACCATGAAAGGCACAGGTCGGTGCCTTCACCAATTGAGACCTCACCAGCTTAACGAATAAGTATCCATTAAATTTAATAACAAGGTGGCACACTAACTCAGACACTGTAAACTTGCTCTGCTGGTTCAATCTGCAACAGAATTGCTACCAATTGGTTTAGTTGAACCATTCAATGTCTTAGTTTGCATCGCTCGATTAGTTTCCAGTAGTGCTTTACATACTCTCTTGATAGTACCATCCAGATTAAACCTGTAATTAAATGGAGGGAGGGCCTTTACCGTTAATATTCTATAGCTAATTTTCAGGAAATGAGACTGAATTTCAATTACATGAGTAGCGTAAGGGGAAATAACCATTTCTAATTATTGTTGTCAGGTTGATGACGTATTACCTTGAATGCACAACAGGAACTATAACTAGATGGTACACGTACAAAACGAGTTCAAAAGGTGATTATCGCAAAAAGAATCACAGGATAACCAGTGCCCGGTGGTGTGAAAAATTGAACAATTACATGCTAGATTCGTATAAGGCGTGCTGACCAAATGGTAACAAAGTATGGTTACTCAAAGCTTCAGAGTTCAGGACGCCCGGCACCCCGCTCAAAGGAAACGACGGTTCGGGATAGGACTGGGATGGAACGGTGCCATATTACCCCGCTCAAAGCAAACGAGGGTTTGGGATGGGAGCAGGGACGGAACAAGGTGTCATATTACCCCGCTCAAACTCACTAGCTTGCAGCTCAGCGGCACCGTGGATCAAGTACGATGCCCATCGGTCGCCGCAGCAGCGCCATCGGCGCTGCCTAGCTCGAGCGGCGCCCCAGGGCAAGCTGGATGCAGAGGGGTGGGGGACTACGGCGTCTGCCGGGCCACAAGCAACCATACGAGAGACGAGCGCGAGCAAACTCACCACCAGCCGTAGCGACGCAGCGCACCACCGAACGTGATCCCCGCCGAGCCCTCGCGTTGAGCATGACGCCACCGGAGACGCTCACCGCGGCAGTCGCCGTTGACGGCCTCCAGTCGGCCGCTCGGCGCAGTGCAGCGAAAGGAAGCGACGATATGGCCGCCATGGGAGACTCCTCGGGCTACCGCCGGCTCTCTCACGGGATACGGCGGCGGATGGTCGACACCGCCGGTGAGGGCAAAAGGGTAATTGCCAGGGGCAGGGGCGAGGAAAGGCTATTGCTCGTCTGGGAAGGGAGGGATGTGATCTTTCTTATCCAGTAGGCGGACAAAGGCTTCCTGGCCACCAGAAGTTGCCACATGGGATGGCATTCTTTTGATTGGGAAATATCCCTTGTTTCGAACGGCTTTTTGCTCAAATTTCATGGGCGTGGGAGGTTGGGTTTGCTTCAGGTTCTACAATTAGGAGTTCTAGAACGGCATTTTGATGGGTTAGTTTAGACTTCACCAGCTAATGTCCATCCAAGTGTTTTGGAATGTCGTTACTAGTTCTTGGTGTACACGCAACAAAAGCATGTTGATTTAGCTAACAAAACAAAACCATGCTATTTATAACAAGGAAGAACTGGTCAAGGCGAACTTTGTCTAAATTGTTTTTGTACAATTGGATGAAATTTCTATATCTATTTCAAATTGTGTTTTTATTTCTCATGAACGTCAAAACATCCTCTATATATGGGCGTTGTTTTAAAAAATATGTGTTAGAGTTTGATTAAACCAACTCTGACATTCATAAATTAAAAAAAAAATATTACTCTCTAGATCCAAGGGCTTAAATTTTTAATTGAAATATTACCCTCTAGTTACTTCTACTTTAATTGCCTCTTAATACTCTGCAATTTTAAGTGCTACTCCCTCCGTCTGGAAATACTTGTCATCAAAATTAATAAAAGGGGATGCATCTAGACGTATTTTAGTTTTAGATACATCTTTTTTTATCCATTTTGATGACAAGTATTTTTGGACGGAGGGAGTACATCTTAATTGCAAATTATGGCCCATCTAGTGTATGCATGGTAACATGTTTATGAGTTGTGAGTAAACCAACATGTTCAGGGACTTTTGCCCGGTCGTAACAATGGTACTAGAGCTAGTACGCGGAATTTGTAGTTTTTTTCATGGAGCAGAATTTGTAGTCGAGTGGACACCGTGTCATGATAACACTAGATTATAACACAAGAGAGACAAACTATTTACTTAGGCTTAGGCCCACAAGGTCCGCAAAAGCCCTACTTCATGCCTTGCTATTTCTCTTATATATCTAGGATATTGACAATTACAATGTGGATACCTGTCGAGTCAGGGAAACTCGACGAGTTATGATGGAGATATTGCCGATAGAAAAAAGTGAAAAGAAAACTAGGTAGAAAGGGGCAAATACCCTTCTATCGTGCCCTTCTTGCCCCTTATATAGCTCCAGTATTGATGAGGCTAAGGCTCAAGGACCTTGAGAATTGAGATAGATAGCCCAGAGGTGTAACCCAACCCCCAGGAAGGCAACCTCGGGAAGCCAACACGCGAAGGAAAACAGGGTACCCGGATCCCTGAGAGAGATGCAGACCAGACAATAAGCCCTAGGCAGTAGGCTGTACGGCTCGTCAGCCAAGTAACTGTCCAGGACACCGTTATTTAATCCTATCTGCGCTGGTATATAAGGCGCTGGACATGAATCAATCGAAGGGGAAAGAAAAAATTATAAGAAACCCCAGACTAGATCACGCCTGCGGCCTCCAGGAAGGGTTAGTTTGTAACTAGAGGAATAGATCTCACCGGAGATCCATGGCGACCACCATTCATAATAAAGACTAGATGACCCGTTGCGTTATTAGCGCACATACCAACTGTGGACCGGAAGTAAAGCTAACTATTTGAAAGATTTCTCCCCTTGACTGCTTGCAAATGATTATGATCGTATTGCATATGCACCCTGATGATGATCATATTCTACAAACAGTGCACAAAAGGGAAAAACAAATGGAAGCGTAATTCACATTTAAAAGACATGTTTGAACTTTTGAAGTCATGCCAAACATGATCTGGAAAACTACACGCGCCACCTTGATCGATGCTTGCTTCATTAACAGGCTTTTCATGCCAACTTGTGGAATACAGCCACGTCGAACCCCACCAAAAATTGCACAGAAACATCCGGCATACTCGAGAACACTAGCCAACCAGCAAACCAACCGATCATGGCAGATTCATAGTAAATCGAATATGCACAGGATCCATTAACGGTCGGCCCCTGAGGAGGATGGCCAAGGGAGATCCACAAAGGAAATGCCAAATCTCACCACCATGGCACAAACACGATCAGCATAGCTGGACACAACGACCAACCAGCAGCCATTGTACTGCTTATTAAAGGACGTGTCGAGTACACCCTACGGGGCGACCTGCACCAAATCCACTGCCCTCACGACCCTGCAGCCAGCCTCGACCCCATTGACATATAAAGCCTTCCCCAATGCAAGATCCTTAGAGGGGATACTCAATATAAAACTAACAGTGCTTGCTTAAGCAACAATGCTTGAGGAAGGGTAAGTTTCGCGAGATTCTGAAAATGCAGGAATAGGAGAAGTATATGATTGGATTGACTTGCCCATTAGAATCCTATAGGATTAGCAAGGGGTGTTTGATGCCACAGGAAAATGAAAGGGATTGTAAAGTTATTTTTCTTAGCAATTTGTAGGGGCGCAAACTGAAGCGAACTATCTAAAATAGAAAATGGAAGTTAAGTGAACCATCTAAAGAGACGACCACATAAATCGACGCATTAGGTGAACATTTGGAAGAATATTCATCGTGAATAGCCCGCGTGTGATTATGTCTGTATTGCGTTTGTCGTGGTGTTCTCACGACAGATGCCATGGGTAGGCTTATTAAGTGTGGTTGGGGCCAGAGGACGCCGGTGTGTTCCGGAAGTGAGATTGGGGACAAGCGGTGTGAGACACACGATGTACCCAGGTTCGGGGCCCTCTGAGGGAGGTAACACTCCTAGCCCTACAAGATCTAGTACATGGATCACAATGGGGCTACAATGGTGCTCCTTGAGCTGTCTTGGGTGGAGGAGGAAGAAGAGCAAGCTCTCTACTCCTAGAGAGTGTGAGTGTGTGTTGTGCATGAGGTCAAGGCCCCGTGCATGGGGCTCGCGGGGGGTCTTATAGCCCACCCCCAGGGTTACAATGGTAAATCTACATGGAGGCGAGGCCCTGGTATCATCGTCTCTAGTCAGATAGTGGGGCCTGCCGGCTGCTGGGGCCCGCCGGCTACCATCATTATGGTGTGTCATCATCCTCATCACAGAGTGGTTGGCATTGTGTGGCTATAGTGCCGCGTCGCCTGGTCCCTGTCTGCCCTTGTCAGTGGCACAACACGCATTGTAGCCATGCTCGCCTCGGTCAGTGGTGAGGGACGTGATGTCTACTATGAAATCTTCTTCTTGTAGACGTTGTTGGGCCTCCAAGTGCAGAGATTTGTAGGACAGTAGCAAATTTCCCTCAAGTGGATGACTGTCGGTGTCAAAACCGACGGATCTCGGGTAGGGGGTCCCGAACTGTGCGTCTAGGCGGATGGTAACAGGAGACAAGGGACACGATGTTTTTACCCAGGTTCGGGCCCTCTCGATGGAGGTAAAACCCTACTCCTTCTTGATTAATATTGATGATATGGGTAGTACAAGAGTAGATCTACCACGAGATCAGAGAGGCTAAACCCTAGAAGCTAGCCTATGGTATGATTGTTGTTCGTCCTACGGACTAAAACCCTCTGGTTTATATAGGCACCGAAGAGGGTTAGGGTTACACAGAGTCGGTTACAATGGTAGGAGATCTACATATCTGTATCGCCAAGCTTGCCCTCCACGCCAAGGAAAGTCCCATCCGGACACATGATGAAGTCTTCAATCTTGTATCTTCATAGTCCAGGAGTCCGGCCAAAGGTGATAGTTCGGCTATCCGGACACCCCCTAATCCAGGACTCCCTCAGTAGCCCCTGAACCAGGCTTCAATGACGACGAGTCCAGCGCGCATATTGTCTTCGGCATTGCAAGGCGGGTTCCTCCTCCGAATGCTTCATAGAAGATTTTGAACACAAGGATAGTGTCCGGCTCTGCAAAATAAGTTCCACATACCACCGTAGAGAGAATAACATTTACACAAACTCAATCTGCTGACGTATTCCGTGGCGTGACATCACACCACGGCCAAGCCTTTATTCGAATCGTTTTTACTGTCCACCTCAGCGCGTTTAGCGAGGCGGTTTCCTTGGCACGTCTTGTCAAGGCAGAGATTGTGTCCCCTTATTCCGGGATTCTCATCAATACAGGCGTGGGTAACCCAATCGTGCCTGTTGGCGCGTCTCCTCTATCAAAGGCGAGTCCCGAACGGTCACGGGGAAGGCTCTTGGTATTCAACCTCTTTATAAAGAGACCAAGGCTCCACTCCTTTCTTTCAATCTCAATTGAATCCGTCCCTCGCCTCGAGTTCCAACACCCAAAGCTCCAGATTCAGGCGCTTCGGACCTTCGATGATGTCCGGCTCCGACCTGCAAGGCCGGTGGATGCCTTCCTCCGTTACGGAAGAAGATGTGCTAAAGCTAAGAGATGCCAGGTATCTAACCGGCGAAATTTCGCATAGGCTGCCTGCCCAAGGGCAGGTTATTCCCACTCCCAAGCCTGGCGAAAGCATGGTGTTCGTGTCTCACTTTCTTCGGGGGCTAGGCTTCCCAACGGACCCCTTCGTGAGGGGGCTCATGTTTTATTATGGGTTGGAATTTCATGACTTGGATCCGGAGTCCATCCTCCACATCTCATCGTTCATTGTCGTATGCGAAGCCTTCCTCCGCATTACCCCTCACTTCGGATTGTGGCTCAAGACCTTCAAGGTGGAGCCTAAGATGATCAAGGGGCAGCCGGTAGAGTGTGGAGGGGCTGTTATAAGCAAGAATGCTGATGCTCCGTGGCCCGAGGGCTCTTTTCAAGAGGAGCCCGGCCTATGGCAACAAGAGTGGTTTTATATCACAGTTCCCAGGGGCACCAAATGGGTGGCGCCGCCTGCCTTTCGCTCGGGTCCTCCACCGCGGCTGGCGTCATGGGTCAATAAAGGAC